CCAGACCGGGGCAGAACCGGCGCCTGGGCATGCGAGCGGGTACCAGCGCTGGACCGACGCGTCCGGTGTCTGCGGAGCGGTGCCTCGCACCTGGAGAAAGCAGAATTTGCTCCGGTCCTTAACAAAACGCAAATGAAACCGCAGGCCCATAGATCCTTTTAGATGCGAATATTTAGAATCAATGGTTAAAGAAAAACAACAGGCGCAGAAGGAAGCGGGGAATAGGATCCATGGGGGCTTCCGGGGACGGATCGTGACGATAACCCAGCATCTTCCTCTGCTGACTGGTTTTCTAAAGAAGAGATCTGCAGTAGGTGCTCACCATGTAGACCGCAGCCTAGCTGCCACCTGTGAACGTTAGCCAAGCTGGCACAGAGAGGATGAAGAGGGATGAAGAGGAAGCAGTGAGATCCTGGCTGCTCCTGGGAGAGGGACGGGGGAAGATGATGCCCGGCTTTGAGAGGGGTTAGAAGACGTGGTCCCCTGCGCGAGCCTGGGGGCACGTGGCCCCTACATCCCTGAGTGTTCCTCTCAGGTTGGCTGTTGACAGCTATTAAGAAATCCAGTTTTCCAATCCACTCAAAACACCTGAATGCTAAATAATCCAGAGAAAAACGGCTTGGCGCTGCGGCTCGTTTGGGCTGGGGGCACTAGGTGCCCACGCGCAGCGTGGCCGAGCTGAGACGGAGCGAAGGCAAGATAACACACACCGTGTGAGCTGCTTTTCTTTTTTTTTATTTATTTTTTGCAGCCACATAAGGAAAAGCAACAGCTCGAAGCTGAGCTCAGCAAGCCTCATCTGTTCCTCTGGGCACGTGACGGCCGGGCCAGATGGCCCTTCGGACAGCAGGGCGAAGAGCCGCGGGGACCTTTCGCCGCGCACCTAGGCACCGGCTCGCAGGGGGACCTGGCGCACGTGACGCTTTTGAACTTTGCATGTATTTAGCAATTCTGGAGCCGCTCTTCTCCCCTCCTCGCTTCTGGCTTTGCCTGGGGCGGCTTCTTCTTCTTCAAAACCAAATTTTCCAGGAGTTCCTCCCCTCCACTCCCCCCGTTATT